GGTGGTAACATCAACAATAAGGATGCTGTGCTGACAGCATTGTTGGAAACTGTATAAACGAGCTTCACAGTGCTTCAGGAGACTGTACATGGCCATCGCGAATGCGGTTGATTTCATGGTGGTGATGTTCGTGCCCGTTCTTAGAGTTCAATCCTTCCGTATGTTATGTTTTACACAGTTATATAAAAAGGCCTTTCAGTAAACGACAGAAACGAACTTCTTTCCATTGGAAATGTTAAACTGACAGCAGGAGGACCATATAAATCTAGGAGGCATAAATCCATGTCAGTACGACTTATTCCTCATCATTTGTCTAAATCAAACTCGCCTCGGATGAAGAATATGCCTTATCATATCGAAAGCAGAGAACACTGTCGAACGTAAATTCGAGACAAAGTCTATAACAGCTGGATACGATATTTGAACAAATCTGTGGATATGATCAATCAACCTCAAGAAAGAAAGGCAAAAAAATACCGGGCTGAATTTTTAATTCCGTAAAACCATAATATTACAGAAATTTCGACTTTGTAAAATTTGGATGTTTGAGTGACAAGTACTACAAATAAGTCCAAATGACCTTATGTGGATAGTATGATCACAACCGTAAATCCTGAAATGTTAGTATGGGAGTGATCTATTTCGATGACAAGAATGATCTGTTTCAGCAACTGGATATGAATTTGGGCATTTCTTCCGCAATGTAGGTGCAAGCAAACGAGGACTCTGCTTTATACGGGTAGCAGATTCAAGAAACCATTAACCTCTGAAAACAATGAATACATCAAGGATAGGTTCATAAAACTTTTCAAATAGCAAGCAGTGAGAACGTGACCCAATACTTGTTCAAAAAACTTATGATCAGAGAAAACCAGAACCTCAGGATATGCACTCCAAGACATGGACGTCATATGTGGCATTAGAGCTATGCGGATGTCACAATTCAGAATTTTTAAGTTGCTGAGGAATGAAAATCTTTGTCACAAGACTTATAAATCAAAACGTATTTCTTGTCTTGCGTCTATAAAAACTGCACGAACTTTAAACTAGCTTTGTCATTATACTTTCAATATGACATCCGGAATTGATTTTGGTTGCTACTTGCTACTTAAACAACTGCCGATCACAGTTATTCTTGTACAGGTTGTCAATGCTTCATCAGTTTAGTTGCTCTGCAAATCCATTCATAAACTCTGGCTTGTATTTGTAGCTGTACTTGTACCACACATGCTCTGAAAAATTGAGGACAGAACAAATGGTAGCAAAACAGTCCAATCTGCATCATGCATATCTGCAGTCCAATACTATCACATCAGTATCCTTCAAACATAAGCCACTCAGGAATGAACAAAATAAATAATCCCATGTGCCTAGGATTGGATACATTAACACATTTTGAAACAGTTATATTATAAACATACTTACGTAATTATAGCACAGGGATTCTTTTCGATCGCGAACATGTTAATTTTGCAATTCAGAACATCAGCGGACTCGAGGCATACAGTTACTAACGGACCGCGACCAGCGCCAAGCACCATCACAACCCTAAAAAACACACAACTACTCATCCAGTCAAGTTTTAGGAAATGCATGATAAAACACAGCATCCATTTTAAAATCTGATGTAAGAGACTACGCACACAGAAATTATGCACTTCACTTAAACATCATTTTATGCAGCTGAATTGTCTTGATTGATAGATATTCCTAAAGGCTAATTCCCCGGATCAAGAGAAACCAGTACAGGTTAAAATAACCAAAACAACTCGCAGTGAAGAGTATGTCAATCGTAAACAACATCAAGCTAGTGCATTTCACTATCCAGAAAAAACTACAATGAATACCAACTACCCATTATTAACCTAATTTTGCCACTCAACATTACGTAGCACAATGCGTAAGAAGTCGGCTTCGAACTCGCACTCCTATGATGTCGAGTCCAATTCCCAAAGAGGTCAACCTTTATCCTCATCACGAATGCCCTTGATCATGTAATTAACCGCACGTCGCTTCAGAGAGGGGTTACTCAGTCGGTAGAGCGTAGGACTCAGAATCAGGTGATACGGGGTCAGAGTCATGATTTGGATAACTTGCCTTTATTCCTTCTGAGGTTGATAAATGAGTACACCTCTAACAAATGAATGAGAAGGAAACATGAGAATGAATACTATGCTTGTCACAGTCGCTGTTGATTTTCTGCTTTTAAAAATAATGGATTCCTGGTTGATGAAGTGGAAATGGAGATCAGTGTTCCCACCATTAACTTCATGGAAACAAGGGTGCTAGAATTAGCCCCACCATGTTTGTGTAAAGAAGACCTACATTCCAACGATTACAGACTTGCCTTCCTACCATTGGCAACCTTCTTGAAAGTCTTTGCCATGTTAGTTTAAATGTAGGTTAGACGACAGACAGTTCCCCTGACAAAGGCGAATATTTCGCAGGCAAAAAACGTTTTGCACAAGCTGTAAAATATGCCCTGTAATTCGAAGGGTTAGTGATGATTGCCACAGGCAGTAAAATTCTGAACCGGCGAATTAGTATTAATAAATTTGGAGAAAAGGAAAGAG